ATGAAAAAAGTTGATGGATACAAAATATACAAGTTCCCATCAAATAGACCTGTTAAAGCTTGCATATTAATAAAAGAAAATTCATTTAGCACTCTTGGAATCTCAGAATACTCCAACTCTAACTGTTCCATAGTACAAATAAACAAGGCCGGCAAACATATCTACCTCCTTAGTGTATATATAGAACCACGTAGCGATATATATGATACCATGAATCAACTCAAACTATTTCTAGAGAAAACTAAAGATGCGCGTCACATAATTGGAGGTGACTTCAACGGCTGGCACTGCCTCTGGAACTCCAAATTAAATAACAAAAGAGGGAACACAATAGCCAATTTTATACATACTAATGACCTAGAAGTTTGCAATCAGGGCAATACGCCCACTTTTGAAACTACTACACATGGTGTACACAGAGACTCAATTATTGACCTTACACTAACCAGTAACTCCCTAGTAAACCATGTTATTGATTGGAAAGTTAATCTTGAAATATGCCCCTCTTCAGATCATAATGGTATTGAATTTAAATTACTTTTAGATGATCATAGCATAAAGAAAAATAAAAAACTGTCAACTTATAGATACCACACTACCCGCATAAATTGGGACACAATAGAAGAAATATTCAAAAAAGAAATTGACAAAGCCCTTCCAATACAAGATAATATAAATAAATTAGATACAGTGCAACTAGAAAGTCTTATAGTTAACATGACACTTGCAATACAAAATGCATGCGATCTAATTTTGCCTCGTGCTCGAAGCAAAAAATCACAAAACCCTTGGTGGTCCACAGAATTAGAGAATATGAAAAAGGAGCTCATAAAAAAACACCACACAATTCATCAACTCAAGCGTCGAGGCCTATCACTTACGGAAGCACTTGATGAGCGTAACAAATTGAAAGCGGAGTATACTGAAGCATTAAAAAACGCCTCCATCTCGAATTTTAAAGAATTCTGTAACAAACAGGGCAAAGATGATGTCTGGTCACTGACCAATAAATTACTTAAAACTAAACCTTTAACTCAACCACCATCGACAGTAAAATTAAAAAACGGTTGTTACACTGTAAATACTATCGAGGCGGCAAATGTATTTCTAAATGAATACTTCCCCGATGATACACCTGATGTGACAGAACAACAGCGTGAAGCAAGGTTACTCATGGAAATCTCTCCAGAGACAACTTCCGACCCGTTATTTACCACTGAAGAGATCTTGGACTGCCTTAAAGTTATGAATCCTAACAAGTCACCAGGGCCCGATCATCTAACGTCAGACATTTGCCTAATGTTTGCGAAATTGTATCCTTCAATGGTCACTTCAATAATGAACAGATGTTTGGAGCTAAAATATTTCCCGAAAATATGGAAGAAAGCATACATCAAAATAATACCAAAACCAAACAAATCTGACTACTACGACACTGCCGCTTACCGACCTATAGGATTAATAAACGTTTTTGGAAAGCTATTGGAAAAATTGATAATTCAAAGAATCACACACCACATTAACAGTAATAATTTTGCATGCAATAACCAATATGGATTTAAAGAACAAACTAGTACCGTACATGCCTTAAAGAAAGTAATAGATACAGTTAAACAATCCAAATCAAACAATGAACATGTCATAGCTATTTCGTTGGACATACAAGCGGCGTTCAACAATGCTTGGTGGCCATTAATCTTCAAAAGACTGCACAAAATCAATTGTCCTAAAAATTTATACGACATAATGCTTAGCTATGTTCAAGATAGGAAAGCGCAGATTGATTTTGCAGATAGCTCAGCTACAAAGACACTCACACGCGGCTGCATTCAAGGATCAGTTTGTGGACCAACTTGTTGGAATCTGATCTTGGATGAACTTTTAGAATGTAAACTACCAGGAGGGTGTCACATACAAGCATTCGCGGATGATGTGACGCTCATTGTTCATGACAAAAATTTAAAAGTGCTACAGAACAAAACCAACCAAGCTTTAGAGATGATCACCAACTGGGGATTCAACACAAAATTGACATTCGGACCTCAAAAGACGCAGGCAATAGCATTCACTAGAAAAGCTGAGAAAAGCATAATAAAAATTAATAACCATCCTGTACATTTTAAAAATACAATAAAGCTCCTTGGCATTATCATTGATAAAAAACTGAATTTCACTCAACATATTAAATCCGTCATTGATAAAGCGCAAAATATATATCAAAAACTCATTAGATTTGTCAGACCTACGTGGGGTTTACATGGAGATAATATAGACACAATATACAAACAAGTAATAGAGCCAATCATCTGCTATGCTTCTAGCATATGGCACGATGCAATAAAATTTGAATGTGTCCGGAAAAAACTTCTGTCGCTACAAAGAGGTTTTGCCATAAAAATAGTACGCGGATTCCGAACCCTTAGTACAGCAGCGTCCATTTCACTAGCTAACCTAATACCCTTGCCTGCAAAAATTTTAGAAACTGCTGAAATCGAAAGTACAAGAATAACAGGAATATCAAAATTTTTACCTCAAGATATCACACTTGACGGACCAGCTCAACCTTCAACAATTATTCATCCAGCTAATAGAGTTAAAATAAATTTCAATATAGCTTCAAAATATGAACATATAGTAGAACATGTACCTCCAGACATTTACCAAATATACACTGATGGTAGCAAAACTGATGGAAATGTTGGAGCAGCATTTGTAGTCCATAGCCCGGATGGGAGAAAAATAGTCAAAAAATTTAAATTACACAAATGTTGCTCAATATTTCAAGCAGAATTATTAGCAATCAATAAGGCTTGCCATTGGATCTATTCAAATAAAATAAACAAAACAGTCATTTTATCAGACAGTCAATCGGGATTAATAGAGCTAAATAATCGATACAGGAGAAACAGACTTGCAAACGAAATTCAAGATACAATATATAAAGCTAAATCTCTTAATTACGCCGTAGATTTCGTTTGGGTAAAAGGACATGCGGGCATCATAGGAAATGAAGAAGCAGACGTAGCAGCAAAATCTGCAGCAATGAGTCACAACAAAATAGTATATTCAATGTTTCCCCTAAGTTATATAAAGACGAAATGTCAAACAATTAGTCAACAAGCCGCAAATGACTTATATATGGAAATAAACAATTGCAGACATACTAAGAGATGGTGTCCCACATTCGAAATTTTACAAAAAACAATCAAGTGTCTTAAACCCAATTTTCAATTAACTCAAATCTTTACAAATCATGGCTTTCATAAAGAATATTTATACAGATTCAAAATAGTAAGTAACGATCGCTGCCCTTGTGACAATTCCTCGATACAATCAATAGAACATCTTATTAAAAAATGCCCAAAATACGGAACAATAAGACAGAATCATGAAATAATATCAAGTATGTTTAAAGTAGATCCGTATAATATTATAGAAGTAATATCCAAAGAAAGTACAACTGCCTCCTTTACAAAACTCATTCATTGTATAATTAATTCGTTAAAAGAATTTAACAAACCCAATTCCAGCAGCTAGAATTCTAATATAAAAGTCTAGGTGTCAAAGACAAATCACACAGGCTTCTCCACTTTGAAATTGTATACCGTTAGCAATTTCAAATTGGATAAAAACAATCACAAAAAAAAAAAAAAAAAACCTAACCTAACCTAACCTAACCTAACCTAACCTAACCTAACCTAACCTAACCTAACCTAACCTAACCTAACCTAACCTAACCTAACCTAACCTAACCTTTTTTTTTTTTTTTTTTTTTTTACGGGGGGAAATCCTTATGGACTACCTCCGCCTGGGGAAAGGCGGAGGGGCGTGCCGGACTCTTACCGGCTAAAACCACCCCGGTGTCTCCTCACACGTGCGCGTGGGGCCGCGGGAATCCATATTCTTCCGCAGCCCCACACTAGTGCTGGCCCGGTCTGTCCGGGCCTCGTCTCCTGCACGGGGTAGTGAGGTGTTAAACTACCCCGTGTATCACCTCAGGGGCGCGCGCCGACACCCGCGCGCGCCTCCGCCTCGGGTCCATCGAGTAGGGGTGGCGGGGGCTTCCCCAAAACCCTCGCCCCTGGACCCATTTATGGGGGCCGTAAAAGGGCGTTGTCCGCCCTTCTCCTGCGCCCGGTGCGCCTTCTGCGGCCAGGGAAGGGAGTCGAGATCTCCCTTTCCCGTTCCGCAGTTTCCTTCTGCGACATCACGTCCTCGCAGAAGGACACCACCGCGTCCCACGACTCTGCGCTACCGGCCATCTTCCGCACTAAGGCCGGCAGCGACAGATCGCCTCCTACTTTATTTGTGAGGACACGGCGCTGCTCCTCCCAAGCTATACACTCGGCGAGCGTGTGTTGCGCCGTGTCCTCCCCGCAATGGACGCAGTGGTGGCACCGAGCGTCCGGCTCCCTGTCTATGCGGCGCAGGTACTTGCCGAAGCAGCCATGCCCCGACAGCACTTGCGTCACCCTAAACGTCAGGGAACCGTGCCTTCTCCCGAGCCAGTCGTCGAGTACTGGCCGGATCGCCTCGACGGTAGCGAGGCCGGCGGTAGGGCGCAGAAGCCTTTGCCGCCATTCCGCCACCAAGACCTGACGGAGCTCCTCTCGGCGCAGCGCGATCTGCCGCTGCACCGGCCTCGAGCCCCGTGCCCGCTCTTCCTCGCGCCATCGATATAATGACGCGAGTACTTTCGCCTCTAGGTCCCAGGGCGGGGATCCGGCCAGGACGCAAGCCGCCTCGTAGGAAATCGTGCGATACCCGCGGACGACTCTGACGGCCATCGCCCTCTGCGGTTTACGCAGAATAGCGAGAGTGCTGGCCGTCATGTCCATCGCCCACACAGGGGCCCCATACAGGGCCATGGAACGCACGATTCCCACGTACAACCGCCTACAGGCGGCGCTCGGGCCCCCCAAGTTGGGAAGCAACGTTGATAGCGCGCCCGCTGCACCCATCAGCTTGGGCGCCAGCCGCCGGAAGTGGGGTCCGAATTCCCATCGGCTGTCGAGCACCAATCCCAGATACTTCATGGTGGACTCGACAGCTATCCGGGCCCCGCTGACCACAATGTGTGAACCCGGCGGCGGCGCGCGTCGAGGGCCATGGAACACCATAGCCTCCGACTTACTTAGGGCCACCTCCAGGCCCAGGCGCCGGATGCGGTTCACCACTTGTGACACCGCAACCGTGGCAACCAACGCTGCTTCCCTGTGCGAACTCCCCCGGGCAGTGACGAGCGTGTCGTCCGCATAACACGTCAAGTCGGCGCCCGACGGGAGTTCACCTCTCAGCACCCAGTCGTAGCCGATGTTCCACAGGAGCGGTCCCAAGACCGATCCCTGCGGAACACCGCACGACATGACGCGCCGACCAGCGCCGTCACGTCCCCAATAGGTAACGCATCTCTCCTCAAGGTAAGCCCCTATTGTGCGGCGGAGGTAGGGAGGCACGCGATGGTAATTCAGCGCCTCCCGAATACAACTCCAGGGTAGGGTGTTGAAGGCGTTGGAGATGTCTAAGGACACCGCCAGCACCACCCCACCCCGGGATACTGTCTCCTCCACCAGGGCCCTCACGCGCGTAATAGCGTCTATAGTGGAGCGCCCGCGACGAAAACCAAACTGGTTGTCATCCAAGTCCGGCCCCTCTCTGCACAAGTGGCTGACGAGACGATCTGCGATGATACGCTCAAAAAGTTTGCCCGCCTCGTCGAGCAGCACTATGGGCCGGTACGCGGACGGTGAGTCCGCGGGGCGCCCCTCCTTCCTGAGCAGGACCAGCCTCCCCTCCTTCCACACACTGGGAAACTGACCCTGCTCGAGACATGCCGTGAAGAGCCCTCTCAGCTGGGGCTCTAGCTCCTTCAGAGCCAGGACGAGAGCTCGACCAGGAACTCCGTCGGGTCCGGGCGCTGTGTTCTTAGCCCGGAGTCGCGACACGGCCACTCTCGTCTCTGCTTGCGTCACCTCGGGGACATCGGTGCTCTCCTCTTCTGGAGAGTCTGTGGCTGAGGGCGAAGCCATCGCCGGGGGAACGTGTCCCACTCGCTCAGGGAAGAGAGTCGATAACACCGACTCTAGCAACTGGGGTTGCATCCTTTGTGTTAGTGGAGGCGCCCAGGGACGCAACTTGCCCCGTATCCAACGGTAGGGGCGCCCCCACGGATCCCGATCTAGGGACCCCAGCAGCTCCTCCCTGGCACGCGACTTTGAGTCGCCGATGGCCAGCCACAGAGTCTCCTTAGACGCGCGGTACACCTCATACAGCGCGTCCTCCTCGGCGGAATCCCGTCGACGCCGCCTCCGGTATCGGGTGTACCGGCGACGAGCCACAACGCACGCTATGCGCAATTGCGCGATCTCGGCGGTCCACCAGTACACCTGGCGCTTTGCGGACCGTTGGCGGACACGGGGCATGGACGCGTCGCAGATCTGCGTCATCGCCCCGCGAAACCATAGCGCCACCGCTTCGACGTCGACGGGGCCGTCCGTCGTCGACTCCCAAATCCAGGACTGAACTAAGGCAGCTTCCTCGAGTAGTTCCCTGTCGATGCGCTTAAGCGCCCAACGCGGGCCGTCGTTAATCGGGGTTGTTGGATGGCGGCCGCTCGCAGTCTGGGCAGAGACGTCGAACCGGATATATCGATGGTCCGACAGCGTCTCCACCTCTGCGGCGACACACCAGTCGTGGACTCGGCTGGCGACAGAGGGGCTAGCAAACGAGACGTCCACTATCGACCCACCCCGCTGCCGCACGCACGTGTATTCCGAACCCCGATTCAGGACGAGCAGACCAGTCGTCACCGTCCACTCTTCTAGCACCTCGCCCCGAGGGTCAGTGACCGGAGATCCCCACGCCGATGACTTGGCGTTGAGATCCCCGAGCACCAGAACGGGACGAGGGTGATAGCGACCTACGACGGCACCCAACTCGACAAGGAAATCCTCAAAGTCGGCGAGACTCTTGTTGGGGGAGAAATACGCCCCTACAATAACGATGCCGCCCGAGACCGCAGCAACCCAGCCGCGGCCCCGAGACGGGTCGATCAGAGTCTCGCCAATAATGGCCACCAAACCGTCAGCGCATCCCAACCAGTTGTCACGGGCGGGAATGAAGTACGGTTCGGCGACCACAGCCACGTGAATCGACCACTCTGCCATGCTCTGGAGTAGGAGATCCTGAGCTCTGGCACAGTGGTTGATGTTGCCCTGGAGAAAATGGAGAGAATGGGATTGTGCCATTATTGACATTCCATCCCCTCGGCAACGGTCCTGGGCCGGGAGTCGGCCGCGGAGCTGCTAGCTTGCGGGGGCAGCGAGGTTAACCCGGCAGGCTTAGTGCTCCTCTTCTTATCCTTTTTCTTTTTGGCCTTGCTGGCAGGCGCCCCACAGGCCCCTCCGCCTACTCTGTGCTCTGCAGGCCTTCCCGCAGCAGAACAAAGGCTGCAGTTGAACGCCGCGGTGCACAGGGCCGCCTTGTAACCTAACCTAACCTAACCTAACCTTTTTTTTTTTTTTTTTTTACATGGGGAAATGCCTACGCATACCCGCCTTGCGGGGGCAAGGACGGATTATGTCGGACTCGCACCGACTAAAACCCCATGGTGTTCCACTCTCGTCGCATATTGGCAGGGCCACGGGAACGCTTTCGCACACTTCCGCAGCCCCACCTGCGCTGGCCACTCCAAGGCGGCCCCTCCTCGGGAGAGGACTACTCCTCCCCCATCTCCCTCTCAGGTAAGGCGCACCAGAACACATGGCGCGCCCTCCTCCTCGGCCTCCAATTTCATATGCGCAACGGACGCCCCCGCGTCCGATGCGCGAAGGCCATGGGGCCAGGAAAAACTAGCACTCAGTAGCACCAGCCTTCCTGACCCCAGCGGCGGATCTGGTCTATGGCTCCGCCGCCAACCAAGATTCGGCTGCGGAGGGCAGGGAGAGCGGCGCCTCGCAATACCGGCACTCCTCTCCCCCCGCAGCCCCACCACCACCGCATCAATTGACGGTGCGGCCCCGTCTGAGTCGCGGAGGATAGGGCGAGTGGCGCATCGCCATACCAACACTCCTCTTCCTCCGCGACTCCACCTCGGCTGCAGCGGTAGAGGGTGCGGACTCCCCTCTCACCGCAGCCCCCCGACACACATCCGAAGTGGGCTTCCCAAGCCCACTCGGAGTGGCCACCTCGGGCCGGCCCTACACCACGGGCCAGCCAAGGGGTTCCTCTTTGTTCACCGTGGGTGACAAAGCCACGGCTACTAAGCCCCCCCGCCACGACAAGGCGGGAACCCGTTCGGGGGGGAACCTAACCTAACCTAACCTAACCTAACCGCGTCCAACACGCAGTAGTGGCAGTGTCCAGGCACACAGTATCCTGTGTATATTACACGGACGATTGCGACGATGCGACTGGACGGCTGATTGAAAGCGCGATGGCTGCGACAACAAACAGAATTAAAGAATACAACCTAAAAATGGCACTAAAAAGCAGAGACGCAGCTGTCGTAGAGGCCCTGACAACGGCGAATTGATATAGCTGAAGA